ATCCAAGAAATATCATTTGGAGCAATCTTTGAAGATTCATGTCTCAAAATACCCAATAAATCCATTATAATCGTTTTCTCAACTTTGAGGATCAAAACATACCCAAATACATAAAAATCACAAAATCAACTAATGTATTTAAAACCCAAACTAGAGGTATTTTGACATGAATATAGCTTTGCAAAGCAACTATAACTCACTCTGCTAAATTTATACTAAAGCTAGGTTTTACCCCAAGTCTTGAGCTTCCTTTGGTGAAGACTTGAAATCTACTAGAAAGCTTTCTAAATCCTAGTCCAAAGCTTCCACAAGGTTTGTTTTACCACAAATACTCCCAACATTGCTCAAAAGCACCACAAATAAGGAAAAGGCTTGGAATTAAAGAAAACCAAAACCCTAACTTTTAGAGGAGAGGGATAGGAAGCTACCTCAACAATCACACATGAAATCACCAATAAATGCTCCTTTAGAGCCTCAAAATCGGACCTAGGTTTCCCAAGATGTCCAAGGTTGAGAAAAAAGATTAAGGGGGTGTTTGGGATTGCTTGTGAAGACAAGTTTTTAACTTATTTCAGTCTAGCACCGTGATAAACTACTTTATAGTGTTTGGGTAAGGGAAAAAAACTGCTTATACCGGTGCCAAACCGGTAATAAGCAGTTTTTGATAAGTTAATCCGTAGTGACTTATGAAAATTGACTTATTACCGGTTTACCATTTTAACCCTGAGTAACACCCTATCTCTAATAATCATCGATATCTCTTCTCCATTTTTTAACAGATATCTCTTCTCCATCGATATCTCCATTTTTTAACAAATACCTGCACCTCTTCTCCAAACAACCACACCCATCATCATCGCATCTTCTCCATCGATATCTCCATTTTTTAACAAATACCTGCACCTCTTCTCCAAACAAACACGCCCATCATCATCGCATCTTCTCCATTGATATCTCCATTTTTTAACAAATACCTGCACCTCTTCTCCAAACAAACACGCCCATCATCATCGCATCTTCTCCATCCATATCTCCATTTTTTAACAGATACGTTCACCTCTTCTCCAAACGAACACACCCATCATCATCGCATCTTCTCCAATCGATATCTTTTCTCCTCCACATACATACATCATCGTCTACCCTATACGATGAACAAATCGATACCCTAACCCTATATACGAACAGAGATCCCACAACAGATCCGCTTCCCACTGCCTATTTTGTTCGATTCGTCTTATTGATATAAATTTTTGTTGTAGATATTATTATTAATGATGAAAAAAAAAAATTATATGTTAAAAAATCAAATAAGTTAATAAGCAATCCTAAACACTCCTATAAGTCAATAATATAGAAGACTGTCTTTTTTGGTCATTTTACAGATATAAGCAAAATTTGTCAAACACTAAAAAACAACTTATCAGCTTATTGCAGTTTGGTACCGCTATAAGCTAATTCAAACACTTTTTACAAAACTACGGTTTGATACCGCATAAGTTAATAAGCACTTTTACAAAAAAGCATAAGTTGTTTTAAATAAGCAATCCCAAACACCCCTAAGGAAAAAGAACATTATGGCGAAAATGAGAAAATTCGGCCAAAAATAGCTCACCTCTCTGAACCAACTCTCTCTGATAGAAAGAGTTTAGAAATTTCTTCACCAGTGTCCACAAGCTTAAAGACTTATTCTTAGGTACATATATTCATTTTATCTAAAAATTATAGAAATTTCTTCCTCTCTGAAAACCTAATTCTTATCTTATATTACTCTTATCTTGAAAAACCCATGATTTTATGGGTATTTTGTCACTAATAAATAATTGACTACAAGGACCAGGTCATACCCAAATAAGGTACTCGGATAATGGATGTTTAAGGCACATTATAAGTTATATCTTCTTTCTCAAGGACTTTGTGTCAGTAAAATGTTCTTCTGTTATTTTTGGTGATAATTCAAAAGGGTCAACTCTAGATATGGTATTTTGACTAATGGATCAGTAACCTTTGACAAAGTTGCCTATGTGGAAGGACTCAAACATAATCTCTTAAGATGCATTTGGTACACAGATAGGACAGGACAAGACAAGTGTTCAACGTTTGGTAAGATATGACATGACAGGACAGAACATGACAGAGCCGGTTAAAATGACCAATTTATCCCTAGTGAGCTGTTTAATGTTTTTTCACTAAATAATCAATCTAATTGTTAATAGATACTATTTAAAAGTACAAAAAATATCTAAAATAAATATTAATTAAAAACTCATTCATAAATCAAAAGATTTAAACACCATGCTTACCAACATAAAAGTTGAAATGTTTACTATTGGGTACCAAAAAACCTAAACACAAAAGTTCAAATATTTACTATCGTGTACCAAAAGACCTAAATACAAACATCAAATGTTTATTATTATGTACCAAAAGACCTGAACACAAAAGTTTTTCTTCTTCGTCTTTTGTTTTGCTTCGGTCTCAAAATCACATACCCATAAAGTTTTTCTTCTTTTTTCTTTCTTTTCTTTTACTTACTTTAACAAACCCCAATGAAATAAAACAATTATTTCATCTAATAAACATTTAAAAAAAATCATGAGCACCGTGTGTTTAAAATAATTTAAGCACATTAACCAAATAAACCCCTTAACTTACCACCCTTATTCAAAAATAACCCCGAACTTTTTAACCGATAACCCAGTTATCACATAAGCCATCTACGAGAGGAATTGTTAAAAGTTAAAATCGGTTTTTAAAATGGCTAAAAAAATAAATTGAGTTAATGGGATTGGTTATGTTGATTACTTACCCAAATTTTTTACATGTAAATTCATGATTTACACTTTTTTCTTTTCAAGTATAGTGTTTGTACATAAATCATTTTTAATATTTGATTGCGTTGCAAATTAAAGCCATTTTTTTGCCTGTTTTTACCTCTTAAAATCAAAATGTAAATATTTTTATACATTAATTGCTTTGGAAAAATAACACATTTCATCATTAAAAACATATTAATTAATTGTCTACAGTAGAAAAAGATCATTTGAAACCATAAAGGTGGTGTCTGATTGGTTTGAGCTTGAACTTCAAAGGTCAAAGTTTGTGGAGGTCTCAAGTTCAAATCTAAGGAGGAATAAAAATCCCTTTGTGGCCACGGAGGTTCAAATGCGGTAACTTCGGGCTACCTGCAAGGCAAGGCAGGTGGTCGCCCTGGGATTAGTCGGCTCGCATTGCGGGTTGGATATCCAAGTTAATAAAAAAAAATCATTTGAAATACACAAAGCTTCCATATGTTCCATATCTATTTACAACAATTTAACATTTTTTGTTATTGTTTTATTATTATTCGACCTTGAAGTCAACAACATGTTTTCAACTTAATCGTAAAGGTTTGTAAAAGTCACCTTGTTTTGGTGATGTCTTCTTTTGACATATTTATATACTGAATTTTGTTTTTGATTAACCTGGATATCCAACCCGTTATGCGAGTCATTTAATTCTAGGACGACCATCTGCTTTGTAGATAGCTTGGAGTCATCGTATTTGAACCTCCGTGGTCACAAGTGGATTTTTATTTCTCCTTGGATTTGAACCTGGGACCTCCTGATACTTTTGACCTTTGAAGTCAAGCTTAAACCAATCAGACACCATCCTTGTGGGAATCTTTGATTGTTTCCTATCCTAGTATGCGTCTATGTGATCGAGTTTTTTCCTTAAAAAAGGTCGGCAATCGAAAAACAAGAGTTGAACCGTGGATGAATATGATCAAATTTCACTGAGTTAAATGCTTAATGGATTAAAGTGATGAATGAATTAAATATAAAATTATGATCGCATTTCAGTACATGTTTTTTAAGATTTTATTGTACGATAACAAAAAACTATAATAAAACTTCTCATTAAAAAATGAAATTTGAAATTGATGTGTGAAAAAGAATTGTCGTTTACCAAACCCTTACCAGGTAATCTTATGTGTTTCATACATGGCCATTAAAATGGATCGATGGTAAACGTTTACATTCTGGTAAGTGCTTACCGGGTAAGAGTCATCACCCTCGTTTACTGAGTAAGACTCTCGATCATTACCTTCTCTCTTATCGGGTAAGATTATCGGTCCTTGTTATGTTCACCCGTTAAGAAATTGATCCAGTAAGTACTTACCAAAGTAAGCATTTAGTAAACGGTCCTTTACAGTTGATCGAACATATTTTTCTATTTTGGAGATTCGATAAACAAAAAATACAAAATAAATGTATGTGTGTCAAATTAAAGATAAAAGTTTTATCCCTTTTCATATGATATATATGTTTGGTGTAAAGTTTTATTGTAATATAAATATTTTAAATTTAAAAATAAAGATATAATTTATTTTTTATTTTATTGATCCACTATTGGATCAAAGATATATAATGATAAAGTATTAGCAGTGATTACGACATTTTTCAAGACGTGACTTATGGTAGTTATGGTGATGTATTGGTTCTCCATCATTGGATCAATCCTAATTGAATGCCAACACTGATGAGGTGCATCGAAATGTACCAGATCAATTTCCTTTCAAAAACGCAATTCATAGGTGGACATAAGATTAAAAGTAATCAAGAGTTTAGATCTCTTCTTACGCTTCTCAATATAACTTCTTTTCACACACAATCCTTTTCTAATATATATACACACACACATATATTTTCTTATATTACTCAATGAGACAAGGACAATACACAATTTAAATTAAGTTTACATATTAAAAACTAACAAGTAACACACTAAAAATATAAGAAAAATCAAATATCGTGTTAAAAAAGCTACGCATTAGGCCATGGTGTGCCACATGCTTAACGAGTCATGATGCACAAGCATTGAGCCACGGTGCACCATGACAGTTACTGCAACGAACCTTTGAGAAGAGTGATATAAACATATGTTTTCTACCATTACTCAATTGGTCAATAATATTAAATTAGATTATATATTAATAAAAAATAGTATTCAAAATGTAAAAGAAATTAAATACCATGTTACAAAACCGCTCTTTAGACGATGCCGTACAAAGTAACATGAGACACAAACCTTAATCATCACTGTTATGGTGAAACTTCTAGAAGACTGTTGATGCCTTACATTGCACAAAAATGATTAGGGTTTTACTTCCTGGAACTGGAACCAAGTATTCCGCTGGACGAAAGTGAGCTGGAATCACATACCCGTTCATCTTTCGTTGAATCCATGCTATCAAACAAACCCTTTTTATCAGATTCATCGTCTTTAACCTCCTCTTCATCAATCATATTCACATATGAAGATGAACTGTTAGATCCTTCTTCTGATTCTATTCTGATATTCATCTTCTCTCTAACTTCCATGATTTGCTCCAGCTCGCCCGCCACCTCGCTCATCGAAGGTCTCATCTCGCTATGAAACGCAAGGCATCGGAATGCCAATTCCGCAACCTTATTGATCGAAGAAATCGTCCACTGGTCTTTGTTAGGCTCGAGAAAAGGATCGATTATCTCATCAAGACACCCCTTTTTGATTCGATCAACTGCTAGTGATGCTAAGTTGACCTCACTATGTCGTCGTGAAAAATCCAACGCTTTAAAACCGGTTATGATCTCAATCAACACGACCCCGAAGCTATAAACGTCGCTTTTATCGGAAAGATGGAAGTTCTGATGATATTCCGGGTCTAAATACCCCGGTGTGCCTTGTGGAGCCGTTGAAATATGCGATGATTCCATTATTCCCAGTCGAGAAAGCCCGAAATCTGCTACTTTTGTTTTGAAACTATAATCTAACAATATGTTGCTCGATTTCACGTCTCTATGATAGATGGGCGGGTTCATAACCGAGTGTAGGTACGCAATCGCTTGAGCGGTTTCCATGGCGATGGTAAGTCGAACGGGCCACGGAAGCCCATTGCCTCTTTCTTTTTGCAAGTGCTGCGATAATGTCCCGTTTGGCATGAACTCATAAACGAGTATTTGTTCGTCTCTGTCAACCGAACAACCTAACAAACGAACAAGATTTGGGTGGCTTACCGATGAAAGAAGTTTGATCTCGTTCATAACTTGATCAATCTTGTTTTCACCATTGGATCGATCTTTGATCCGTTTGATGGCAACCCATTCGCCATTGTGGAGTTTGCCGGAATAGACGGTGCCATAGGCTCCGGTTCCTAGGCGTTGTTTATCGGAGAAGCCATTGGTGGCCTTTTCGATGTCTTTATAAGCGTAAATTGGAATGGTGATGCCTTTGGCTTCACAAAACTGTCGGTTTACTCTACTTCGCGATCTTGAAATGGTTCGGCGACGAATGAAGCAAATAATCAAGCCTATGCAAACAATCAGTGAAGCTCCCACAACAGCAGCTGACAAAATTGATACCAGGTTGAGAACGTAATTTAGACACCACATCTTAAGTATTTCGCTACCTAATTCATATATAAGAATGTATGAAAATATAACTCATTAATTTGGTCAGATTCTTATTTTGTATAATGTAGTTTAAACTAAATATGTGGGATATGATACATATATATATATATATATATATATATATATATATATCTATACTATATTATAATGCATTTGGCTAAAACTCTTAAAAACTCTTAAACTCTTAAAACTCTTAAACCCGTTCATCCCTATCTGATTTCATCCCATAACTGAATT